CGCTTTCCCCACCTTTAAAGCACAGGAAATAGTAAGAAAAGAAATAATTCAGTGACCAGCAGGAATTCAAACAGTACAGAGCTAGAGGAACTGGGGGAAGCTTTGACTAGATGTGGCTGTCAATAAATCCCCCACAGCACTGAAGAAATCTCTGGCTAAATGTTTAGATTTCTTGATTTGTGCTTCCACACAGGAGAAAAAAACCCTATTCATTGGTTTGAAACAGCTTTTACTTTTATGGTTTGATTTTATAATTAGCAACAATCATGACATTGATCGTCTGCTGTTATGTGCAGTTATGAGTCACACACAGCTCAATGCTGGACGTCATTTTGGGGTCACCAGCCTGGGTTTGTGTGGCAGAGCCTGCAGTGCCTGCTGCTTTCCCCTCCACTGAGGTCTGCATGCCAGGAGAGCCAGGCTCAGGATTTGAATCCCACTGACAAACACCTCCATCCAGGCAGTGTCTAACACTGTCAAAATAAACACGTGAAAGAGATTCTGTAGCTTTGCTCACTAAAAATTCAGCAAGAGCTGCTCTCTAGGCATTGTGGTGGGAAGGACAAAGCCAGACTTGGCACCAGGATTGCCACAGGCTGGGCATGGGATGAACAAGGCAAGGCTTGTCCCTGCCCGTCTCTGAGGGGAATCTGTTAGAAGACACCATGTTTAGGCCTACAGAAAGTCAGTTCCGGGAGCTCTGTGGAGCCCAGACAGGGAGATTAGGAGCAAAGCCCCGTGTAAGCCTTGCAGGGTTCATGGTGGGGTTGGTGATCCGCACCGCCCGCTCCGGCAGCTGGAGAGAAGCTCAGTGAATCAAGGCATTTCTATTCCCATCCACTCCCTTACCCTGCCCTGTGATCTCCTAAATCACTTCTCCTCTCTGCACCTTCATTTCCTGCACCTGAAACAGCAGGAACATGCAGATTCTTTTCTTCTCTGGCAAGCAGGAGCTCCTGCAGGAAACTTCATCCAGGCATTCCAGTAACTGTAACATCATCTTTACTAACATCACATTGAGATACTGCTCAAACAGCCCCTGGAATGACAAATCCCTCCCATCCCACCATCCTGGGTCACACCACAGCCCCACACTGGTCATATGAGATGGAGACTGAGCAGAAAGCAGAGCCCAGATCCCTCAGGACAGCGTTTCCCAGCCCAAGGCAGCAGCAATGCACCCAGGAGGGCTCAGCACCTGGAAGGAGACCAGGATATTGGGATCACTAATTGGGAGAGAGAGGGATTGTCCTTAGGCTGTGGGGAACCAAATTCGATGGTTTTGGGGCACACGGACACTGTCCATCCCCTGTGCTGGCACTGCTGGGCTGCACGTCAGATCCTGGGGCAGTTCTGGGCCCTCCATCGAGGGGCTGGAGCGTGTCCAGAGAAGGGAACAGAGCTGGGGAAGGGGCTGGAGCACCAGGAATGGCTGAGGGAGCTGGAGGGGCTCAGCCTGGGGAAAAGGAGGCGCGGGTGGGACCTTGTGGCTCTGCACAAACTCCCCGACAGGCAGGTGGGTGAGGTGAGGCCATCTCTCCTACTGTGGGAAGAGTGAGCTCAGGGAAGGACGAGAGGAATTGGCCTCAGGCTGGGACAGAGGAGATTCACATCAGATATTGGAAAAAATGTTCGCTGTTTGCATGGCCAGACATTGGAGGTGGTGGAGTCACTGTCCTGGAGGTGTCCAGGAGGAGCTGGGGGATGTGGCTCCAGAGGCAGCGCTGGTTGAGGGACTGAATGATCTTAGATCCAACCTGGATGATTCCGTGAAAACCTTACGTGGATGCAGAACTTGGGGACATGGTTTAGTGGAGGGCACGGTGGCAGCGCTGGGCTGAGGGTGACCTTGGAGGTCTTTTCCAACCTCAGTGCCTCATCCCGCCACGCTGTGTCTCTGGGATCTTTTCCATATTTAACCATCCCGTGATTCCAAAGGGATGGAACCCAAAGCCCTCAGATTCGAGGTCACCCCATCCTTTTATTCCTTTTATTCCAAAGGGATGGAACTCGACCCCCTCAGATTTGAGGTCACCCTGTCCTTTTCCACCTTGAACCATCCCGTGATTCCAAAGGGATGGAGCTCGACCCCCTCAGGTTCGAGGCCACCTCATCCTTTTCCACCTTTAACCACTCCTTTATTCCAAAGGGATGGAACTCGACCCGCTCAGATTAGAGGCCACCCCATCATTCCAAAGGAATGGAATCGATGGAACCCAAAGCCCTCAGATTTGAGGTCACCCTGTCCTTTTCCACCTTGAACCATCCCGTGATTCCAAAGGGATGGAGCTCGACCCCTCAGATTCGAGGCCACCCCATTCTTATATTCCAAGGGGATGGAACTCGACCTCCCTCAGATTTGACGCTACCTTCCTTTTCCACCTTTACCATTCCGTTATTCCAAAGCAATGGAACCCAAAGCCCTCAGATTCGAGGCCACCTCATCCTTTTCCACCTTTAACCAACCCTGCAATTCCAAAGTGATGGAACTCGACCCCCTCAGATTCGAGGCCACCCCGTCCTTTTCCACCTTTAACCATCCCCTCATTCCAAAGTGATGGAACTCAACCTCCTTAGATTCGAGGTCACCCCATCCTTTTCTACCTTGAACCATCCCGTGATTCCAAAAGGATGGAACTCAACTCCCTCAGATTCGAGGCTACCTCATCCTTTTCCACATTTAACCACCCCGTCATCCCAAAAGGATGGAACTCGACCCCCTCAGATTCGAGGCCACCTCATCCTTTTCCACCTTTAACCAACCCTGCAATTCCAAAGTGATGGAACTCGACCCCCTCAGATTTGCCGCGGCTCGGGCTGAGGGGAGGCTGAGCGCGGCGGGCAGATTCTCGGTGTGTGAGCGCTGCAGGGCCCCTCAGCGAGGTGTGGGGGCTGTGGGAAGTGCCAGGCGGCCTCTGGAGCGGGGAGACAAAGCGGGGGTGAAATCGCCGCTTGCTGCGGGTAAAGTCCCCGGTCGTGGCCGGGTGTGACCGCTCTGTGTTGGGTTCTGAGCTTAATTTACCTGTTCAGGCCTGTGATCCCAATCCTCGCTCTGAACAGCAATGTAAAAGTGTTTAAAACCCGTACAGGGATAATGATGTGTGGCAGGAGGTGCTCACTTGTGACCTGTTCAGTGGTAAAACGTAATTAATGGGAGAAAAGGCATTATGGGGACTAAAAGTATCAGTGAAATTCACAGCACGGAGAGCAGGAGCCAGACTGAAACATGGCTTTTGTTTCTTTGTCAGGTAAAACATCTAGGGTGTCACCAAGTCTCTCTAAAAAAATGATTTAAATTCTCTAAAATCAATTTTTTTTTTCCTGTTAGGCTGAAGCTTGTTGCATTCTAAAGACTGTGCTTTAGTAGCTCTTTTAAAAAAAAGTTGTAGAGCAGAAGATCGCTAGATCCATACAAATGAATATAAATAAATCTATATAAAAATGTTATAGCGCTGCTTTTACATCAAATGTTTCACTTCAAGTCTGTGATAGCCAGTTGGAGCAGTGTTAGAGGCTGTGGTACATACAAAATAAAAATTTAATCACTTAAAATAATGTTTTCTAAGTTAATATTGGTTCCAAATAGGGTTTTTTCACAACCTTTAAGAAAAATGTACTTTGAACATAGGATTTAGTTGGTTTTGCTGGAGGGGGGAACCCATAAATTTCAGGTCTATATTTAGACTATTTATTTGTAAATCAATTTCAGCCTGAAGAAGTTTTGAGGTGACCCAATTGCCCTTCCAGTACCTGAAGGGAACCTGCAGGAAAGATGGAGAGGGACAATTTACAAGGGCCTGGAGGGACAGGACACAGGGAATGGCTTCCCACTGCCAGAGGGCAGGGGTGGATGGGATTTTGGGCAGGAATTGTTCCCTGGGAGGGTGGGCAGGCCCTGGCACAGGTGCCCAGAGCAGCTGTGGCCTCCCTGGCAGTGCCCAGGGCCAGGCTGGGTGTGGGGCAGTGGAAGGTGTCCCTGCCCATGGAAGGGGACGGGCTGGAAGCTCCTTTCCAACCCAAACCACTCTGGGATTGCAGGGCTGGGCAGTGGCAGTGGCTTTCCCAGACAGCAGCTCCAGTGCTGAGATGACTTTTGACATCATTTTAGAGGATTGTGACACTTGGTGCCTGCCTTGCAGCAGGGATTGTTCAGCACCACTCAGTGAGCTCAGAGGGGGAGGCTTGGTGTTTGTGCAAGGATTTTCCTTCACTCCAGCAGCTTCTCAGTGTCTGCCTGGGCTATCCAAGTGCCAGCTACCTGCTCTGGTGACAGGAGGCTCTGTGAGCTCAGGATTGTCCTCAGCGCTGTCATTGCAACAGCTTGGATCCCCTCAACACAAACTCAAAACTGTTTTAAATTGCACTTACGTCTAAAAATATGGATTACTGTTCCTTCATTTCCTGCTTGTAGGTCAGCTTCATTGGGATTTATAATCATTACTTTAATTTTCATTCTCTTTGGTGGTTTGGTTTTTTCCTCAAAAAATAACAAGGAAAATAAATGTTTCTGGAAAAGCTTCATTCACATAAGCTTCTGGTTTTTGGGACTGCAGGATATGAGTAAAAGGGCATCGTTTGACATGGAATTTGTTTCTGGATTTCCTAAGATTGCTTTTGCTCACTGTGTTGATATTTCAGCTTTATATAAATTACTTGTTTCTGTGGCAGAATATTTGAATAAAGTTTAATAGTCACTGAGCAAAATCCTTACTCCTGAAGGAAGCAAACCCTTATGCTTTGAACACAATATTCTGTGTGAAGCTTTATTCTTTCCTGCCTTGCTTCTAAGGTAGGAAACGCTTTCTATTTCTGGAATGCCTCCCTCCTGAAGGGCTTTGTTTCTCTTTAACAGTTCTTGTGTTCTGTGTCACCAGCTGTGAGACACCAAATGTCAGTCTGTGTTCAGAAAGGCTTTTTTTCATGGTCATGATGCAGTTATCCACATCTCTTTTTTGCTTCTGTAAAGTCCTGATGTGTCATGATATTGGCAAAATAATTTATTCTTCCTGGTGACCATGGCTCTCAATGTTATTTTTCTTTGCCTAGACCATGACAAAATGTTTAAGATGAGTGAAAAGATCTTACTGCTGTGTGTGGGGGAGCCTGGAGACACGGTGCAGTTTGCAGAATACATCCAGAAAAATGTTCAGCTCTACAAAATGAGAAATGGTGAGTGAAGCAGGACAGGCCCTGGGGGTTGGGAGCAGAGCTAAAGTGGTTTCCAGGTGAATGTTGGTGGAGAGGGCTGTTCTCAAACCTTCTGCAAAGATTTCTGCATTTTTAGTGTTCAGCAAAGGTGACAATTCAGGCAGGATGAAGAATTAGAACCTGGATTGTACAGTATAAATTAAATGGTTTATCCAAATCCTAGTAAACTTCTTTGCAATATAAATAACAAATATTGTACTGACAGACTTTCAGACTTACTATTCTCTGCAAAGGTGACAATTCAGGCAGGATGAAGAATTAGAACCTGGATTGTACAGTATAAATTAAATGGTTTATCCAAATCCTAGTAAACTTCTTTGCAATATAAATGACACAAATGTTTTACTGACAGACTTACTATTCTCCTAATATGTCCATTGCATGCTAACTGTAACCAGGGCTTCTGATATATTGGACAAAAAAGTCAAGCTACATGTCCTTAATACTTTATATTTTGAAGCCATGTATTTCTATGGTCCATACAGATGTGAAATACCCAAAGTCTGAGGGCCCTGTTTATGCCTGTAGCTTTCAGAATAAACCAGAATTAGACAAAAGGCACTACATTTTGTCACTAAAGAACATTTTGTTATTTCAGAAAAGGCACGGGAAGGTGGGAGGTGAATCATGAATGATTTGGGCTGTTAGCAAACAAATAGTCCCATTTCTTCTCCAGGTTATGAATTGTCTCCCACTGCAGCTGCAAACTTCACCCGGCGAAACCTCGCGGACTATCTGCGGAGTCGGGTGAGTAAAGCTGAGACATTTGGCACAGGCTTCCAGGGAACATTTCCATCTCAAATAATGGAGTCTGAAAAAGTGTCTTTAGTGATGAATTTGGAGCTGGCTGCTCAGGGATGTAGTGGGTGAAGGAACAACTGGATGTTTCATTCAGTGCTCTGCTGTGGGTAACAAAGGGTTGAGGGGTCACAGGTTGGACTTGATGAGCTTGGAGGTCTTCTCCAACATCACTGATTCTGATATTCTGTGAGTTCACATTGCTGAAATAATGTCTTAGTAAAATAGAGCTTGATTTGCTTGTTTTAAAAACTTATCACATCACTTATCAATAACTGATACAGGCATAGACTTAAAATTCCAGCCTTGGGCCCAGTAAACACTTTGTCACACGCTGCAGACGTGAAGTGAATGAAACTTCTTGAGCATCGAGATAAGGTTGTGGGTTTTCATGCAAATGCTCCAAATCCGTTTAATCTTCTTGGAAAATGATTTCATAGAGCAAAGCTGTTTGATGTACTTAGGAAAACAAGTGCCTTTTGTAAACAGCAACATGAGACTTTTGGTAAATACCACATCCAAGTTGGGGTTGTTTTTTCAAGTTACTGTACTGCAATTAGCAATGTTTCCCAGGGTGATTTTTTTCAAAGTATGAAAAGCTGCTGTGAGGGGGCAAACAAACCTTTAATGATCTAAGGTTAGGAAGCATTTCATTGAGAAGAATGTTAATGTGCTACATGAAAGAAAACAGGAAGAAAGAGGATGTTGAGAATGAAGTCGGTCAGCTCTGTCAGGAAGAGAGTGTGGGTTAAACTGTGTTGCTGTTCTAGCAGTGCACTGCTCAGGCCTGAAATCAGGTTTTACACTAGCAAATAAAGGCCAGTATTAACCTCAGAGCTGTATTGTTGTGAACTATATACATGTGGAGTGAAAATTCTTCCAGAACTCATGCACAGGAACAGCCAGAGATGATTGTTCTCCTTTCTGACACACAGCTGCAGGTAGAAATTTTTTCTTGTGGGTCCCTTCCAACTCAGGATATTCTGTGATTTCACAATGCTCTTCTGGTTTAAATGGCTTCATCCAACTGCATGGCTGGCAGGTGATGGTTGGCAGTGATGCTGTTTGCTTGAGCTTGTGTTGAGCTGTGATTTGGAAGGTCTGTGTGTGTTCTGTGCATTCCTGTGAGTTCTCGAGGCTGGTGTGGAGCAGTGATGCTGTTGGGGCCTGGCCCTGGTGCTGATGGCTCATCTCAGGGACATCTGACCTGCACAGATCAGTCTGAGTGTCCTGTCCTTTTCAGCAGAGGCAGCTATTTCTTACATGTAATTTAAAGTACCTTTAACAGGCTTTTTGGTAGACCTGCCCATCAGGAGGCACCACTGACGTGGCACCTTTGTCTTCCTCTCTGCCACGTCCCTTGGGGCCTGATCCTCCCTGTGGCTCCACTCCTTGCTGAGCCCACGCCTGTCTTCCAGCTCACCTTCTCCAGATGGGCAGCAGAGTGGGGAGGACACTGACAGAGGCAGATGTGTTTATTTACCAGAGACAAAACGCTGCTCTGGTGCAGATGGCGACGCCCCAGGGCGCGTGGCGCTCTCTGACACTGCTGTCACACTACACTGATCTCCACATTGCAGGCAGAAGCTTTTTTCTCTAACTTAGCACTTCATGGTTTGTTTGTGGCATTTAGAATTTGACAATACAAGCCTTGCCATGGGAGTTGGGGTTTTTTCCCTATGAATTTTGTTACATTTTCATCATAATGTGGGATACCAGAAGGATTAACGCTGGTGCTTGAAACTGCATAAGGGATTTCTGGAGGCTACTGATGTAATCATGTGGATCATGAAAATAAAAATTAAAAGGTAAAACATGCCACCACCTCCTGTTAGGAGTGGGAAAATAGTTGAGAAGTAAAAGGTTTGATGGGGAAAACGTAGTTTGTTGCTTTATTGGCACTCACTGTGTAAAGATGTTATAGGAGGCCAGAAGGTGTATGAAAGGGAAGGTTAAACTGCAGCAGGACTTTCTCAGGCATTTAGACTTGTTGTGGCCAAGGTCAAAACAGAGTTTGTTCTGCATTGTTCATCACCATCTCATGGTGATGATTTCGTTTGATTTTATTTAGGATTCCCATTACTCCTGCAGTCCAGATTCTTGATATCCTAGGGACAGCTCACAAGGCAGTGCCTTGAAATTGTTCTTCTGGTGGAAAGTCTCAAGTGTAATGACACTGGGCTTGTATCTTAGGGCCATTACATCACTGCTGTCTTTGCTTCTACTTGATAGTCACCATGTGGTTTTTCATGACATTTCTCTTTTTAAAACACAAGATTTCTGCTCCAGAGCAGGATCTGAAAAGAGTCTTTGTGATTTGTGATCAGGGCAAACCTGGAAGGTGCTTTGGCTTTCATGGAGGTGAGTGGTGCTGTAGTGTGTAGTGGCAGGACAAGGGTGAATGGCCTTAAGCTGAAGGAGAGCAGGGTTAGATTGGAGATTGGGAAGGAATTATTCCCTGTGAGGGTGGGCAGGCCCTGGCACAGAGGGCCCAGAGAAGCTGTGGCTGCCCTGCATCCCTGGAAGTGCCCAAGGCCAGGACACTGGAAGAGGAAGAACCTGGAAGGTGTCCCTGCCCATGGCAGGGGGTGGAATGGGATGAGCTTTAAGGTCCCTTTCAACCCAAACCATTCCAGCATTCTGTTGTTACCTGTTCCAGCACCTCACCTGGTTCATGTGCTGAACCCAGTGCAGGGTTTGGTACATTGACCTCACTGCTGAGGCTGTGTGTGTGGTGGGGGGAAGTAGGAAAAAAAGCCCCCTGCCCTCCAAAGGTGATGAAGTTCAGTCTCTGATTGTGATGCTGTTTAATTATAGGTGACAGGGTCTGGCTGGATTCCAAAGGCAGCTTTAGCTCCTCTCCCCATGTCCACACTTGGCAGGAGGCTTCCTTGCTCCCACCTTTCCCCCTCGCTGTGACTTTGACTTCCGCCAGATGTCACAGGGCTGTGTCACCACCGAGCTGGGCTTGGGCTCTTGTGCACAGCTGTGCTCTTCAGCTGTAAATTCTGAACTATTTCACACATCTCCTAATTGCTGTCGTTATTTTAAATCAAACAGCACCAAGTGCAAAACTACTTGGGATGAGAAATGGTGCTTCTGTAGGAAGGGAAGTTTGATTTTTAAAAAAATGTCCTGGAGTGTTAGCCATCACTCATTTGATGGGCCTTTAACCACACCAGCCTTGTAGAGAGTTGAGAATGGTTGGCATGGACCAAGTTACAGAAGTCAAGAAAGGCTGCCTTTGGAATGGACAAAAGGTTTGGGATGTACAAGAAATTCCAGTCCCAGCATCGAGGTGTTATGCTGCAAATTTCATTTATAATCATGGAAGTTGTAAATAGATTATGTATATTTGCTGATGTTTAAATCCTGCCTTTCTAGAATAATAAGGCATGGGGGATAATTATTCACATTTGAGGTTTAAGAAGTCTCAGAGACCATTAGTGGGAGAACTTAAAACTGAAAATCAGTTTACAGATGGGTTTAAGTCTGTATAACACCATTTATTTATGGTTGAGTATCTCGCATATGCCAATGTTGGTAATTCCAAGTCACACAATAATTTGAGTGATCTTGTGTCATGGCTCTTAAATATCAACTTGTGTGATGTTTCAGAATAAATAAATGATGAAATACAGCCTAATTAAACCAATACAGCTGCATGGTAACTTCTTTCCAAATATTCTTGGATGCTTTGAAGATTAAATCACACAATTTAAAGTGATGTTTTATATATAACTGTAGCCTGCTTTATTCTTTCATACTGTCTGAAAGTAAAAATATAGTGGCATGTGATTTTTTTTTTCTGTGTGTGGAAGTTTACTGCATTGAGTATCAAAATGAACTTTTTCTATGATGCAGTTAATGTTTTGGCTTTAGGGTGAAATTTTGTTTGCTTTTTTAATCTGGTAGTTGCATCATCTTATTTTTTTCTTATTTTGTTGCTTTGTTGATCCAGGTTTTCCAGCAGTTTGGAGATATCCTGTTAGTACAATTAATTTAATAAGAAACATTGTGTAGATATGGAAATACTGGAAGTATATAAAAGCTGCTTTTAAAAATACATACAATGCCCAAATTTTTTTCTGATCCTACATTTAAAAATAATACAGTGCACGTGTGTTTCATGGTTTTACAAAGTACAGATCTTGGAAGGAGATGTAGGAGAAGAAGAGATGTCTGATTTATTCATGATAGTGGAACACTAAACCCAGAACATGGAGTAAACTGCCAAATATTAAAGATTACACTTGGTACATGCAATAAAAACCAAATTGCCAGTGAACAGGACACTGTGTGTGACTGCAGTGTGTGAGAGCTTTCATACGTGCTGTGCTCCCTGGGAGGGGGACTGGGGAGAGAGCAAAGAGCAGGTTACATGAACAAAGAGTTCTTAGAAACTGCAAAGTGTTCACGTTGTGCTCACGTGTCAGCAGTAAAAATCCATAATTTTTATGGTGAGGGGAAAGAATCTGGCATGGAGACTGCATTCAAGTTTTTTAAAGTTCGAGTGTGTTGTGAAAGCTGTAAAAAAAAAACCAAACACAGTGGAAGAGTTCTATGTTTTTATTTGCTGGTGCATGTTACCAGAAGACCTGATCACTTTTAGCTTGACACCCACAATGTGCTGCAGACAAGACTGATGCAGCATTTTATGATAAGGAATTGGGTAATCAGCTCTGCTGTTCCCTGGTGCACGGGAAATCAGGATTCACAGATCTGCTGTGAGTGCTCTAACAAAAACATCCTTTCTCTTGGCAGACCCCTTACCACGTGAACCTTCTCCTGGCTGGCTATGATGACCACGAGGGCCCTGCCCTGTACTACATGGATTACCTGGCAGCTCTGGCCAAGGCTCCCTTTGCAGCACATGGATATGGAGCATTCCTTACCCTCAGCATCCTTGACCGCTATTACAAGCCAGGTGAGTGGAGCCACTGGACAGGAAAATTCTCCTGCTTCAATTTAGGCCTTGAGTTTATTAGCCAGTGAGACTGACATTTGCTGAATCAGGTGACATTGCTGTGGTGCAACAGATCAGAACTTGACTTTTTGTTAGATAAATGGAGCTCGAAAGGTTGCCTTTGGTTTTGCTAGCATGGTAACAGAAAACTAGTTAACTCCTTAATTTTTTTCCCCTGTTTGCAGCATACAGACTGGGAATAAAGGACAATTCAGTTATTCTAAAATATGATTAGACTTTCCTGGACCATTGGCAGCTGGTAGTCTGCTTTTAATAAATAACACTTTGACAGCTCTATCTTCTTTCTTGTCTGTTGGCTCTGACATGTACATTTTCCCAGAGTATCAGTATTCAGAGGTCAGTCCCAGATCCTATTGCTCCATATCTTGGATTGGCTTTGTGTATGATAAATTAAAAACATTCAAATGAAAAGGTATTCCTAGCAAGATCATCTCCAGCACTCTGAAGTGGTGGTGGTGAATCACAGAGTGTGGAATGGTTTGAGTTGGAAATAACCTTAAAGCTCATCTCATTTCACCTCCTGCCATGGCAGGGACACCATCCACTGTCCAGGTGATCCAAGCCCTGGCCAGCCTGGCCATGGACACTTCCAGGGATGCAATGGAGAGGTTTTAGACTGATTCACAGTTCTGTGCACTTGGCAGCTGCTCATCATAACTCTTGCACATGTTTGTACCTGTCTAAACTTTTAGTTTAGACACATAATCCATTGCCAAGGAATATACATGGCCCCATCCCCACTGTGCAGATAAGGAAATGTGCAAAGCACAGAATATTGTTAATCTGACATCTTTGGCTTTAGCTACAAACTATTTGACTCCTGTGTGCAAAGCTGAGTTTAAGTTATTATCTCTGCTCTGAGATTAGAAATCCTTTCATCTACCTCCTTCAAGAAATGCAGCTATAAACTGAACATTTTCATTTAACTTGCCTGAGCAGTGGATGCAAGTCTGGAACTAAGCCTAGAAAGAAGTTTTAGACCCACCAACCCTGTTTGTTTTCTAGTCATGTCCCTCAACAATCTATTGTTCCATTTTCACCATTCCTTGTGGAACAGAGGGAAATAATGAACTTCATTGTCATGGCTTGTCACCCCTATGGAGTGCTGGATTTTATCCTGAAGTGTGAGAATAGCAGGAGCATCCCACACGTGCCTGGTCCTTTATTGAGCTGATACCCAGCAGGAACATCACACTAAACCCATCTCCACCTCCTGCCCTGGACTCGCAGCCGGCCGGGGCAGCTGGAGCTCATTTAGAGCTGCAATAAACTGCAGGAGAGGGAGGTGCTGGGCTTCTCTGAGCCAGGCCTGGCCATGGGAGGCAGAATTCCGTCATGCTTCCCATTCCCTGTAACAAATCGATTCTCAATGGCTTGTTGGGGCGTGAGCACTGCGGTGCAGGGCGTCCTCGGGACATCTGGAAAGTGTTTTCTGTGAGCTGGGAAGGAGAGGTTTTGGTGCTCAGCTGAAAAGTCGTTTAAATTTAATAAAAGTTTCTGTGGAGAGAGATGGCTTCTAATGAAATCAATCTGTGGATGTTTTCCCTTTCAGGTATCACACGTGAGGAAGCTGTGGATCTCTTAAAAAAATGTCTAGAGGAGGTGAGTTGCTGAGCTCAGGCCCTGATGCTCCTGAGAAAGGAATGTTTGTTTGCATTCACTCGCTGATCCTTTCCTGTTCCTCTTGTCGCGTTTCTTGCTGCCTTTGCCAGAAGGGTAATAAAGGCACTGGCCAGATGTGGAATAGCTACTGAGGAAAAGGATTTACAGGCAGTTGCATTGCCTTTGCATGGTTCACGTCCTCCAGAACATAAACTTGAGCTTTTTGCGTGCTTGGCATAATACTGATCCAGACTTTTTCCTCTTATGTTTCTTCTGAATGTACTGCAGCATGCTTGTCACTTGTGTTACACTTAAGAACTCTTAGAAGCATGTACTAATTCCTTTCCAGCTTGTGAAGTGATATCTGAGGTAAAGCCTTGACCTCAAAGTTCATGACCAATTTTAGTGTCAACATAAGACTCCAGATCTTTCAGACACCAAGGCTTTTATTGTAGGAAGATAGTCTTTATCCTTGTCTTTAAGAGATTGATTTGAATGTAACATCAAGAAGTGCTCTGAAGAGGTCCTGTCTGAAGTATCTTTGTGATATGTATGCTTTGTGTCCAAAATTTTAGCCCTGTTTGAAGTATCTTTGTGATATGTACACTTTGTGTCCAAAACTTTAGCCTGCTCTAGTTTTTCTGCTTAAATGTCTTCCCTGTTAACAGGCCTGGTTATTTTGCATCTCTGCCCGAGGTTTGTCTAATGTGAACCATCTTACAACAAACTCCCACTAATTCACTCCTGAGCAGTGAAAAAACCCCTTCTAGTTCCTAATATTTTGGGCCACTGGAACCAGGATGGAAATTGAAAGTATATTCTCCTCTTTTATTTAAGCTTTGAGTGAATCTCATTCCTTCTTTTTGTCTTTGAACAGCTTCAGAAACGCTTCATCCTCAACCTGACCTCCTTCAACGCCCGGTTCATTGACAAGGAGGGCATCCACGAAGTGGACAATATACCCCTTGCCAAAGTGGAGTCCTAACCCCCAAGATCTTTCTTCAGTAGTCTTGTTTTGTTCTCTCTTGGTTTTTTTTTTCTATTCATTTGAAGCACACGAGTAATGTACTGCAGTGCGAGCTCGAATAAAGCCTGACATTTATATAGCCAGTTTTATCTTTTTATTCCACTGATCCTTCCTGAGAGGATTTGAGTAAATTGTTCCACAGTGAAAGTGAAACCTGATTTACAGTTCATGGGGGCACATTCAGGTTATTTATCTTTCCTCTTCTGAGATTTTACTGCTCTCCAAATTTCTTATTTGTGGGAAAACTGTATTTTTAGATGACATTGTGCTGTCATCCCTCTCATCACTAAAGCTCATCAAACCCCAGGCAAGTTGTCCATGCCAAACATGCAGCATCTACGTTATTTTTTCAAAGATGTTACCAGTTCTTGCTGTATAAAATTAATCAGGTTTTCAAAGGCCTATTTTGCTTTTGATAGAGGATTTTTTTTTCATTTGAATTACATTGATACAAAGATTTCCAAGTAGAATAGATTTTAAAATGCACTTTTAACTCACCAGTGGTTCTGTTACTGGGAAAGAGCATTCTGCTGGCACAGTGGGTTCATAACTACAATAAATATAATTTAAGTAGTATTTTAAGTAGAAACTAATATATCAATTGTGTGATGTTTCTTAATTGATGTGTCTGTACATTTAGAAGTACATGAAAGCAGTTCAGTGAGAAATTAAACTTCAGCACTCCTTATAAATCTTTGAATTACTCTCAACTAGCTAGAGCTTTGTTTCCTTGAGAATAATATTCCCTGATGATCCATCTAGGCTCAAGATGCTGCTTCCCTATAAAACCCCTATTCATGGAACAGCCTCAGATAATTATCATGTGGCTGATACTTGTGGTCTGCCCAGAAGTGATTTTTCTGAGATCAGTTTTTGGTGTGACTCCTTCCCTACTTGAATTGGCAATAAAATTGCTCTGGGTGCTTATTTTTATGTTTGAATAAGCTCAGAAAAAGAATCTTGGAAGTAGGGTAGACGTGTACAGGACAGTGTGCTGACTGATAGTTGTGTGTTGTGGCACAACACCCAAGTTCTCAGCTGGAGAAGGTGAGTGACAAACTTAACTGTTAATTTGTCTAAGATTTTTGGTCTTAGCCCAGTGGTCTGTTTGAGAAGGTTTGTTTCTTCCCAAAGAAAAGTTGTCAGTCTTAAAGTATTCCTGTCTTCTGGAATGGATGAGAACTGGATAAGACTGAGCCTTGCTTAATGACACAGGAGAAATTTGCAGCTCCAGTGCCTTAACTCACCCTGCCTCTTACTTAAATCTAATTCTTCCCTGGAGTCCCATCAGGCTTTGTAGTTAAATTCTTCCCAGAATGAGTTTAATTACAGCTGGTTTGGCTGTAATGGCTGCAATGGCTTTTATTTAAGGCAGTGGCACAGAACTCTAAAAAACATTTTGCTAAAACTCCCTTTATCTCTTGAAAACCTTTTAAACTTTCACACTCAGCAATCCCCAGCCTGATGATTTCCTCTTGGCAGGTCACATTTAACACGAGCAGAGTCATTCCGCCACTGAAATCTCACCCCTTCGTGTTGCATTAATCTACTTGTTTAGCTTAATGCAGCATCTCTAATTTATTTTACCACTGATGTTGAATGTTTTTGCAGGTTTCTTGTCTCATTTCAAACTCATCACTGCAGAGGGGCTGAGCTGATGTGATATTTTTGTCACTGCATATCAAAGCAGCGATGCCTCTTCATTGGAGGGATTCATTGTTCAGACACCAAACTGTGCTGTGGAGCTCTTGGATGATGTGGGCCTGGCAGAGAATCTGCCTGGTGTTTTTATTGGCACCTATTTGCATGCAGGTGATTAATAAACATAAAACAATTATTCTCTGGTTGGATCCAGGTTGGAGTGGAACATATGTTTTGCCCAAGGGCAGGGCCCAGGATCTGAATCCCCCGTGGAAAGGAAGATCCAAGGGGTTGCATCTGAAGCCACTGGAGCAGCAACCTCAAGGAATGAATAAATACAGCCCTTGATTCCAAACCAGGAACAAAAGAACTGGCCCACGATGAGATTGGACTCTAGCCTCTAACAAAGGAGATTTTTTTGAGGACTTTGCAAGAATTCATACTTTTTAAGGAAAAGTGTGATACTTTTGCTGCATAACTTACTTTTACAAATGTGCCGATACTCAAATTCAGAAACCAGTTTTCATTTTTGACATATTACATGGAATCTGTTTGAAAAACAAATATCTAAGTTAATGAAAGAGTAGAAAACTTCTTACCTGCTTCAAATTTTGCCCTAAAGCTTCTGAAAACCATATTTTGCCTGGAATCCAGGAATCCCTTTTTGAAAGAATTCACCTCTCCATTTGTATTTGTCATGACAGGCCTCTTTCATGAGAAATCTCTGAAATAATTGAGCACTGCAAGAAAATACTGCTTTGTACTAATTTTTGTGGTTCATATTATGAGAAATGAATGTAGTAGTCAAGGTGCCTTGTTCCTGGGGCACTGTGGCCAGGGTGAGCTGCTCTGCCCTGCCTTGCCTGGTAATTCTGACCATATGTTTTACTCTCAAAGCCTCAGGGCCCAAAGAGTTAACAAGGCCCTTTTTCTCGTGTTAGGTTTCCTGTTTAAGGACGGTCTTTTCCTGGGGAGCAGATCATCACCAGCTCATCTCTCCAGAGCTTGGAGTTAGCTCCAAGATCAGTTTACAGTTTCTCTGTGCCTTAGGCCACGTTGGGTTGGGAGAGCTTTGCTGGAAGAGGAATGTGAGCGTAGGTGCAGCGCTCACAGGGCTTTTTCTTGGTGTTAATTACACCTTTCCATGGAAGAAAATCTGTGTTTTGGGGTAGACCTCCCTGTGACCAGAAGCACTGGCCCAGAGGATCTGTCAGAGCTCAGCTGCCTGGTGGAATTGGTCTCACAGAATTTGTAACAATGCCAACTCAGTTCTGCTGCCTAAAAGTGACTCCACGACTCAAAAGTTGTCTTGAGTGAAGTGACAGCCAAGCAGGGACATCAATCAACAACTGAAATGCCTGGAAGGTGAAACTGTCTCCCATCCTGCTGTATTCACTTTTGTGGGGAGCTGCTGCTGAGGGGGAGCCCCCCAGGCTGATTCCCTTTCCTTTCCCCAGGATTTCTTCAAGAAATCCATGGCCCTGTTCTGTGAAACCAAGAGATGCTCCAGCCCTGGGCAGGTGAACTGCCTCAGACAGGGACAGGGTTTCAGTGCAAACCTGAGTGTCCTCAGCAGAAATTCATGAGACTGCCTAATGATAATAAAATAACATAAACAATAATAATAATAAAACTAGAAATAAAGTGTGTGTGATCAATTCACAGCATATTCTCAGCAGTCCCTGAGATCAGCTTCTGTTCGTGGTGATCAGTCACTGGCAGAAGTTTTGTCACCAAATGGAGCTGTCACTTCCCAGAGTCAAGATGTGGGAGCAGAGGGGAGAGATCAGGCTGAGCTCTCCCAAGGATGTGTTTTCCTTTGCTCTTGTCTCTGGTTTTGACAGTAGGCTCCTCCAAGAGGCATTAGTCCATGCCAGGGCTGACATTAGGGATTATGCTCATAGGATTTGGCTGAGTCCATTTTCCCATCTGAAGCAGGGACAGAATATTCCTTTTGTATTCAATAACTGGGCATTTGAGGAATAAAATACCTCTGTTGGCTACCTGTGAAGCACTATATTTATATATTTAAGGAAAAATTAATTTATCCTACTTGTAAAAAGTTTATCCTTCAAGCCATTTTTAATTCTTTCAGGGTTTAACCTTACATAGAGTTTCCATGTGTTGTTATCAGCCATCAACAGTAATTTAGTGCAGGAAATTTTCACTGATCAAGCTAAACAGACATCAGTTGTTTTAACAGATAAAAAAAAAAAAAAGGAAAATGTAAATGGTGGGATTAAAATATACAACTTGTCTATTTTCCATGCCCTTGACTATGCTGGTTTAGATCTGACTGGCTGAGGACTATATTAAAAAATAAGTTAGTTGTCTTGAAAATGTAAAGTGACAGTTTAAGTGTTTTGTTTCTGTGCTAATGTGCAATTAGGTCGTTATCCAATAAGCTGATTCATGTAGTTTAACTCGAGACAGCTGTGGAAGGCAGAGAAAACCCTTTGCTGTTGGGGCATGGGGAGAGGGTGTCTAAAAGGATCTGCTTCAGAACTGCCAGGATGGTACTTTCCCCTGTGTAATACAGCAAAGTTAGCAAGATTTATGAAAAACTAAATTCTGCTGATCAGATCTATAGAAAGAAAATCAAAATGAATGCCAGCAAGTGTGGAATAATTTTTGATCTATAAATCAACTCTTAAGACAGCCCTACAAGGTGGGGCCAACCTAATCACTGAATCCTCTGAAGTGATTTCTTGGTTGGGTGTGTTTTGATTTGGTTAAATTACCTTTTGCTTAGTAGAGGTTTCCTTGATGTTGTTAAATATTTCTCGTGTTTATGCACAAACATAAAAATTGTGGATCTCCTCGAGTTAATTTACATCAGACAAAGGAAACTGTCTTTTTTGTGTCAGTATTTTGGGGATTATTGACAATATCCTGCTACTGCACCACCAAAACACCCGTGGGCCTCAGTGGGGCTTGATCTCCTCTTGCCAAACGTTGCACTGGGAATGTGGCTGATGCCATTCCCTGCTCCCAGAGTTTTTGGTTGGCAGGGAACTCCTGTGTGTCTCCCCAGCTCTGGATTCAGCAGAGGGCAGTGATCTTGCACGCTGCTGCTTTCTCCCAGACTGGTTTGTCCTCTTCCTGCCTTGCAGATCAGCTGGTGGTCACAGAACTCATGGAGAGAGGACCAGAGCCTTGTCCAGCAGTGGCAGGAGGGATGTACAGGGTTGTTTCTTCCCTTGGAAAATGCTTATTTTATTTTTCACAAATGTTGGGCAGTTGTGCCATGAAACAGGTAATTATCCATATTTTCACAAAGGAAGATAGCCAGTGACTCACCAAAAACCCAAAAAAGAGCAGCTGGAATCCATCCTGTCCTAGTTCATGCAAGCACTGACAAGCAGGGATGTGAAGTTCAGGATTTTTAGGATATTGCAGTTCTCCCTTGCAGAGCTGCTCTGGACATTCTCTGCTGTGTGCT